AAAAAAAAAAAAGAAAATAAAAATAAATAAATAAATAAATAAAAGTGTATTTGGTCTTTGTCCCAGTTCCTTGGAATTTCCCAAGTGATAGGAGTATTTTTTATTTTTCATAAAGAGCCCCTTTTGAGCATACTTGAGCTTATGCTAATGAAGTGACTCACGATGGGCCCCTAGATGGTTTCAGGATAGGAACTGATCCCAGAAAAACCAAACTCCCACCTATCCAACCCCATCTCCACCCCGGACTTCCAGGTGGGAGAGGGGGCCTGGAGATTGGGTTACAAAAGATTTGAGGAACTTTCAAGGACTTTCCTCATTAGTGAATACATCCACAAGCCAGAGGGTGTCACATCCTAACTCCACAGGAACAGAGGCTATTGTGCTCTGGACTCTTCTGAGCCTAGCCCTACGTATCTCTCCATATCTCTTCATCTGGCTTTTCATTTGTATCCTTTATTGTAAACTGTAATAGTAAACAGTGATTTCCTGAGTTCTGCGAGTCATTCTAGTGAATTATCAAAGCTGGGGAGGGTCACCGGAGTCCCCCAATTTGCAGTCGGCTGCACAGATGTGTGGGTTGCCCGGAGACTCCACTTGCGGGTGGAATCTGAAGTGGGGGCAATCTTGTGGGACTTAGCCCTTCACCTGTGGGGTCTGTGCCGACTCCAAAAGTCACTGTGAGAATACCAGCTCGATGTCACAGAATTGGTTGGTATCAGAAAACAGCAAATGGGACCCAACTTGATCCAATTTTGCCCCTCTGGCCAATTGGATCCATGCTCCCTTGAGTCGATTGAGTTTGGGACAAACTAAGAAAGAAACTGATGGATAAGCCAATGTGCAGCTTTGCAGTGAGACTGCAACTTCCCTGCTTCAGGGAGTCCCTGCTGCTTGTGGGCCTGGACTTAGAAAACAGGGAAGTGAGACATCCTGGTGGAGCCATGTGAGCCCAAAGTCCCCAGCCCCACAAGGGGGTAAACAGCTGAGCAGAATGAATACTTCCACTGGCTGGTCATCACACCCTTCCCTAAGTCAGTTCTGAGGTTAATGGTGGATTCTTGTTCCTTGGTTCCCCAATACTTCAGATGGTTATAATCTTATCAAAATGGATCACATTTTCTCTAACTCATAACAGTCTAATTACATATTTGTCCTCTATCTCACCAGTAACCCGTTTACAAGATGTCGGTTCTACCTGGCAAATGGCTTGTGCCATCCTTATTGTTGCTTTTTCCTATTTTCACGCTATTTTTTCCTATTTTCACGCTCAGTTTCTACATCCTGTTCCCAAATCCCAGAGTCAGCTTCCCACAGACCCTCTGAGTGCTAAAAAGCCTGCAGCCCAAATGCAATGTTGGAGAAGCCATCCTTCAAGCGCCTCATCCCGAGGCAGGGTCAGGAGAACAGCCTCCGTCTAAGAGGAGCTCCTGTCATGGATGCTACTGTCAACTCAGCCAGCTGAGTGCACAGCTGATATGCAGGGTGAGGAAGGAGGCGGTTGCCTGTATATACAGTTCATGATGCCATGGCAGTGTGTGTGTGTGTGTGTGTGTGTGTGTGTCGAGTGTGGAGCCATCACCTGTTGGCCTGTTACCTCCTGTCCATTGAAAGCTGACCTGAGAGGAAAGGACACAGGAGGAACGTGAAGGCATCCATTTCTGGAGCAGTCAACAGCTCTGCCTGAGACCCCACGAGTGTTGAGCAAACACTTTGAGGCCCATAAGAGGTCCTGGGGTGGCGAAAGAAAAGCAAGGGCCTGCCTTGATTTCCATCTCCCCACACACAGGAAGGGCCCAGGCCAAACCCACTCAGAAGCTGATTCTTCTTGGGACCTGAGAAGCTGAGGGAGCCTTAAAAGCAGAACTGAAAGGGGCAGAGTCTGGGCTAAGACAGGGCATAGTGCTGCAGAGGTGGTCACCTCAGGTGTGACCAGCAGGACTCCCCATCCTGCCCCTGCTTCTCTGTCGCCATTCCCCTCCCTATCCCAGTCTCCCAGC